TTTAATGAAGAATTAAATTCCATTGAAAGAATACAAGTAGAAATCCAGGAGATTAAAAATTATATTGAATTCATGGTAAGCAGAGACAACCAATGTGAAGACGGAATATTAGAATTAGGAGATAGGGATACTTTCAAAGATAATTTACATAGAGATACCTTAAAAACAATAAGACAAGATGGAAAAGAAATCTAACATCTGCTAGATGATGCAAAGATTAATCACAGTAGTTATAATAAGTGAAAAGTCTGAAGACAGCACAAAAACATAAAAAACCTATTTCTAGAAATAGAAGAAAACTTTCCAAACATAAAGAAATAAAAGACAAATTAATGAAGCATATAGAACCCCAAATAGCCAAAATAAGAAGAGAACCTCTTCCTGTCACATCATAGTCAAAATCCCAAAAGTTCAACACAGAGACAAAATCTTAAGAGCTGTTACAGAAAATAATGAATCATGCACAGGAGTAGACCCATTGGAATTACAACAGACTTGTCAACTGAAATCTTAAAGATGAAGAGAGCTAGGAATAAAGACTTTCAAGATAACAATTTCCAACACAAATTTATATATCCTACAAAACTTTCTTTTAAAATTGGTATTTGGGTAAGATGGTGCATGTATGTAATCCCAGGCCAAAGCAAGAAGATCACTGTGAGTTCAAGGCTGGGGGATAATAATGAGGCTGAACCACATAGCAAGACCCTGTCTCAATCAATACATACATACATATTCACAATAAAAATAAAGTAAAATTGATGAAGAAATGTTATTTCCATGACAAAAAGCACCTCAAACAAGCACTGCAAAATTCTCAAGTATATCCTAGAAAAAGACAGTGAACTCAACAATGCTCCCCCCAAAAGAAACCCTACTAGCCTGAATACACCAAGCAGGGTGAACAGTTAAGCATAAATGAGAAAAAAGCTATGCGTGTTGGGTGGGGAGTCTGTAACAGGCAAATAATACAGTGAGAGGAATAAGTCAGTACTTACAATAATTCCCAGTGTGAATGGTTGCAGGGTCCCAATGAAAAGACACATTAGCAGGATGGATCAAGAAATAATATCCAAAGACATGCACAGTACACAAGAGACAAATTTAATCCAAAAAAGAAATACACAGATTAAAAATCAAAGGATGAAAAAAATATTCCATGCACTATGAACCTAAAAAAAAAAAAGGTATAGCTATCCATAATATCAAAGTTAATTCCAAATAAAAACTGATCATAGAAGCAAATAATGTCAGCATATATTTGTCAATGGAATATGTTTGTTATCTTTATAGGAAGAGACAAAAAATCATAGATGTATATGTACCAAACAATAGACATCCAACTTCATAAAGTAAACACTACTGGACATAAAAAAATCAGATCAACACCAAAACAACTATAATTGGGGACTTCAATACCCACTACCACAAATTGACAAAAGGTAGGCCAAAAATCTCAACCAAAAAAATCCAAGTTCAAACAGATAGATTTCAAATAGATACCTGTAGCTATGTCTTGTGTTATACAATTATAAGCACTTAGGAAATTGGGACAAATCTCTAACTGATCTTACCAAAAAAGAAAAGAAAAGGCCAAATAAATTCAATTACAAATATAAAAGGCAAAATCACAATAAACTTTGCTAAAAGTTAGATTGTTAGTAACTTCTCCGAGAACCTGTTCTCTAAAGAAACGGAGAATTCAGAAGAAACAACAGACGCCTACTTTGGTATGAATGACCAAAGCTGATGCAAGAAGATATAAAAATCATGAATAATCCATTAGATAGTGAGATGAAAGAAGAATTATTTTCTTCTTTTTTAACCTTTCAACTAAGAAAAGCCCAGGTCCTGATGGATTCACTGATGAATTCAGGAAAGTTCTACTACTACCATTCCTCAAACTATTTAATGAAATTGAAAGGAAATAAGTACACCCTATAAATGAGGTGTATATACAATGGAGGAATACTCTTCTCTAAAGAACAACAGGTTACAGCCATTTCTAGGAAAATGGATGCACTTTCAGACCATAATATTAAGTTAAGTAAATCAGATGGTTGACATTGCCATCATTTCAAAATCAGAAAACAACCCAACCAAAAAAAGAGAACTTTAGCCTAAACTCTTCAATGAACATAGACCAAAAAAGTCTTTAACAATCCACTAGCAAGTATCATTCAACAAATCATCAAAAAAATCATACATTGTGCCCAGATAGGATTTATCCCAGGGTAGCAGGGATGATCCAACATAGACAAATGAACAGATGTGATACATCACATTAACAGAAGCAAAGGACAAAAGTCGCATGCACAACTCAATTGAAGCAGAAAATGCCAGTGATAAAATTTAACATCCATTCATGATAAAAACTGAAGAAAACAAACATAGAAGAACCATATCTCATCTGATAAAAGACATTTATGGCAAACCTACTCTCAAGATCATATTAAATATGGAAAAGCTGAAGATTTTTCTATTTAAATTCAGAAGCAAGACAAGGATATTAACTACCATCATTATTGTTCAATATAATTCTTGAAACTATAGCCAGGAGAATCATCCCAGAGAAAGTAATAAAAAGGCGTATGTGTAATTAAGGAATAAGTCAACTTAACATTATTTGGAGACGACATGACCCTCTACATAGAAACCCCAAAAATTCCATCAAAAGACTCCTAGACATAATAACCAAATTCAGTAGCATAGAGGGATACAAAATTAACACAAAAACTCAGTAATATTCCTGCACCCCAATGATAAACTCATTGAGAAAGAAATTAGAGATAACACTTTTCACAATATCATTGAGAAAAATTAAACACAGGAATTAATACAACTATGGCAGGGAAAGACCCTTATAGCAAAAATTACAGCACTCTAAAAAAGTAGAGATTGAAGAAGACATCATAAAATGGAAATACATCTATGGTTCATAGATAGGCAGAATCAATATAGTCAAAATGGTCATACTCCTGAAACTGTTAAGTAGATTTATTGAAATCTCAATTAAAACACTAATAGCACTCCTCACAAAACTACAGAAAACAATCCTAAAATTCATTTGGAACCAGAAGAGACCTAGAATAGCAAAAGCAATCTTGGGCAATAAAGACAACGCACAGGGCAACACAATCTCCTTCAAGTTATACTACAAAGGTACAATGATGAAAACAAAACAATTAACACAAAAACAGACATGGTTTAATGGCATAGAATATAGGGTGCAGACACAACTCCAGGCACTGTCAGCTATCTGATCTTTGACCAAAGAGTCAAAAATGGATGCTGGGGGAGAAATAGCCTTTCTAATAATTGGTGATGGTAAACTGGTATCCATATTGCATAAGATTGAATTTAGATCTGTATCTCTCACCACATACTAAACTAAAATAAAAATGTATCAAAGATAAAACTATGAAAACAGAAACATTTGATGTACTAGACAATAAAACTCTTGAAGACATAGGCATAGGCAAGAACTTCCTGAATAGAACCCCAATTTCACAAGAATTAACACTAAGCATCAACAAATTGCATCATCAGATTAAAAAGCTGCTGTACAAAAAAGGGAACCATCAGCAGAATGAACACACAATCTACAAAACAGGAAAATTTACTATTCTTCAGAGGACTAACATCTGGAATACACAAAGCAATCAAAAATTAGATCCCAATATAAAAGACCCAATCACAAAATGGGTAACTAAATAGACACTCCACAGAAGAAAATACAAATGGCCAGTAAATACACAAAAAGACGTTCAACATTTCTGATCATTAGAGAAATGCAAATTAAGACAACACAGATTCTGCCTTACTCCAGAAAGAATAGCTTTCATCAAAAAAAAAAAAAAAAAAAAACACTAGATAACAAATGCAGCTGCAGCTGCAGGGGGGAAAGGATCACTTCTTCATTGTTGGTGGGAATGTAAACTAGTACAATCATTGTAAAAATCTGTATGGAGTTTCTTCAAAAAACTGAAACAAAATTCTAATTGGTCCAGCTATTGCCTTTCTAGGTATCTTTCTAAAAGAGTTAAAGACGTTATATTACAGTGACACATGCATAACTATGTTTGTAGTAGCACACTTCAAAATATCTCAGTCTTGGGAGTAAATTAGGCATTCATCAGCAGATGTGTGAGTAAAGATAGTATTGTATTTATTCATAATGAATTATTTCACTGCCATAAGGAAGAATAAACTTACATCATTTATAGGGAAATGGATACAACTTGAATTTATGTTAGGAGGAATAAATCAGACACACAAGTTGAAATCATGCATTGTTTCTCTTATATATGAAAACCCAAAATATAAACAAAGAGTAAAATAAAAGATAGACAATAAGAAATACTGAGATGGATCATTTATATATGGGAAGGGAACTAGAGAAAGAGAAAGAGAGAGGGGAGGGGAAGAAGATAAAGAATTAAGATATGTTCACCAACTTTTCTCAGTTTGAAGCAGCTAGATGGAAACTATATCCCTTTGCCCCCGATTGCAGTTAGGAGTACTTCCTCAGAGGGGAAAATATTATAAATACCTAAAATACATAGAAATATAGTAGGCAGAAAGACAGGGCTGGGCCTTCAAGGGAGTTAGTGCAAATGATGGAAATCCATCAGGGCTGTGGCTGGAGGTGCATCTGAAGATTAAAGTCACAATGGCTAATTTTACATACTACTCTCAGTGATAGACAGTAATTTGGAATTATTGGCATCACTCTTCTGTGATTTCCCATTATCTCATTGGGGGTGGGCCATCCTTTCCCACCTACTAAGACTAAGACCACTAAGACTAAGGCTGCCAAGACTAAAGACAAGGCCAAGATTACAGATTATCAACCAAAGTTAATGATGTCACTCTTGTACCCTTCCTACCATTAGATCAGTATTACCCTAGTGACTACACTTGCAGTCTTATTGGTTGATCATAACTTTGACCCACATTGTACTCACACCTGATTTTGCTCTATAAAACTTCCTTTGAGAATAGCCCTGACTCAAGGCCAGAAGTTTTTTGAAGCTGTTGGTTTCAAGCAGGAACCTAAAGTGGTATCTGTCTATGGCCTTTTGACCATTTCAGAAGTATAGAAATGTAATGGCCAATTCATTAGAACAAAACACCCCCCCCCATGAGTCTGCCTTTGTGAGCCCAGAGGAGAAGAGGCCACCCGCCCCCTAAGTGAGTCCACCATAGTGGGCCCAGAGGAGAAAAGGCCACGTCCCTCAGTGAACCTGCCTCCATGGGCCCAAAGGAGAAAAAGCTACACCACTGCAGACCCAGAGAAAGGGAGGCACACTTCTCAGTGAGCCAGCTGCTGAAACCCAGAGAAAATAAAGCCACATTTCCAGTGATCCCACCTCCACAGGCCCAGAGGAGAAGATACCATACCTCTGATCTCCAGATCTACCCACAGTAGATCTGGAGAAAGGCAAGTTATCTCCCATGGTGAGCCCATCACCATGGGCCCAGAGAAGAGGACACCATGTCCCCCACACTGAGCCAGCCATTGTGAACCTAGAAAAACAATGCCCCCTGGTGGGCCCAGTCCACCACTGTGGTCCCGGAGGAGAGGCAATTGCACCCCCGTGGTTCCACCACCATGAGGGGAACATCAATGAACAAATGCTCCCACACCTCTCTGGTACCCCAGGAACCTCGAATTAGTGGACAAAGCAGCAGGGTGCAATTTTAGACCTCCAGCCCAGAACAAGTCCAGAAGAAACAGGCACAAAAGAAATTAGAAGTCACACACCTGAATTTGTGAAATGATAGCAGCTGAAGTAAAGAGACAACTTCATGCTTACTTTGCATGCCTGTGTCTGGTAACCTGAGCATCTATTTAGAAGATAACAATGTGCATTACAGTAACTATGGTTGATTTCCTACTGTCTTGTTTTTGAAATACAATATCATTCCCGTTGTTTTGTTTTGTTGTTTCTCTTTAAAATAAAATTTAAAAACTTCTTTTGAGAGGTATGTTCACTGACAACCCATTCAGGACCCTTCTGCCTCAGCTTTCTCTAGTCTCCAGTCCCCCATTCCTATTCTCCATTCCTTTTCTCCAATAAATTCTCTTATTCTTAAAAAAAAAGAATTAAGATGTGTTATGTTAATGTTCTTATTCTCCCTGAGAAATGTGATAATTATATACTATGAACATCACAAATAAAAAATTAAAAAAATAAAAATGATTTAGTATAATAATTAGCACAAAAATAGATGGAATGTATCTTTTTTATAAGTAGACATATATATCTTATGTAATGCATGTATACATATATATTTTTCCTAGAATATATGTGTACACATTAATGTATAGAAAAATAACATGATAAAAATTTTCTTATTTGATAAAAGTAGGATGGGGCACAGTTGGTTATATTATAGACAGCTAAATTAGATAAAAATATAGTAACCAATCAGACAGGGCTGGGTCCTTGAAGGAGTCAATGAAAAAGATGAGAATTCATCAGGACTGTGACTGCAGGTGCATCTGAACATTAAAGTCACAATGGCTAGTTCTACATACTTTCTTAAGTCATGAATGGAGGTTTGAGATTATTGGTATCACCCTTTTGAGATTTTTCGTTATCTCATTAGGGATGGGCTCTCCCACCTACTGAGAGTAAGACTAAGATCACTAAGACTAATATTAAAACCACTGAGATTAAGACTTAGACCACTAAGACTAAAGACAAGACTATAGGTTATCAAGCAAGGTTAATGATGTCACTCACTAAACTTGTTAACATTAGATCAAAATTACCTAAGCAACTATACTTGCAATCTTAATGATCAAGCATAATTCTGACTCACATTGTATGCATCTCATGATTTTGCTCTATAAAACTTCCTTTGAGAGCTGGGCTCATTGATATTCCATTCAGACCCCGCCTGTCTCTCAGGAGCTATTCTTTTCCCCATTACTTTTCTCTAATAAGTTTTCTCACTCTAAACCTCTATTATTCCTTATAAATCATTCTTTGACTTCAGGGGACATGAATTTGGCATATTTGGTAATTGGCATTTCCCCTATATGAATTATATTCTCTGCAAAAATTTTAATGTATAGAAATTTTACTTATAGATTTCAGAAGAAATGGGAAAATAAATAAAACTTTGTAATGGTCTACAAGGGAGGAAATAAATGTCAGAACAGAAATTAATGCAATTCAGAAAAAGAAAACAATACAAAGACTTAATGATCAAAGAGTTGGTTCTTTAAAAGAATAAATTGATAAACCCCTAGCCAGTCTTATTTTTAAAAGGAAAGAAAAGGCTCAAATTCATGTAATGAGAAATAAAAAGGATGAAATCACTACAGATCCTCTGGAAATTTAGAAGATCACCAATACCTACTTCAAAAATCTTTACTTGCATAGGATAGAAAACACAGAAGAATGGACAGATTCCTAGAAACATATGAATTACCAAACCTGAATAAAGAAGATATAAAAATTCTGAATAACACAATATGGGTAATGAAATTGGAAATGTAACTAAAAGCTTACCAAAAAAAGAAAAATCCAGGTCCTCACAGATTCACAGCTGAATTCTACCAGAAATTTGGAGAGGATTTAATATTAATACTCCTCAAACTCTTTAATGAAATTGAAAGGGAAGCAATGCTCCCTAACTCATTCAGCTGTAAATTCATCAGGGCCTGGGGTTATCTTTGTTGGTAAATTTTTAATTACATTTTCAATTTCATTAACTGATACTGTGTTACTTAGAATTTTTGTATGTTCTTAATTTAGTTTGGGTAATTTGTGTCTAGGAATCTATCCATTTCTATGTTTTCCATCTTATTAGAATATAGTTTCTCATAGTAGGTATTGATGAATTTCTGGATCTCTGTAGAATCCACTGATTTCCCCTTTCATTCCTAATTAAATTTTTGTTTTTCTTTCCTCTTTTTGATGAAGTTAGCTAATGATTTATCAATTTTATTTATTCTTTCAGAGAACCAACTTTTCAGTTCATTGATTCTTTATATTCTTAGGCTCAATTGCATTAATTTTTGCTCTTATCTTTAAAATTTCCTCCCTTATAAAAGTTTTGGATTTGATTTGTTGTTTTTCTAGAAGTTTGAAGTCCAACATTAGATTGTTTATTTGAGCTTGTTCTGTTTTCCTGATGTGAGTGTTCATTATAAATTCTAATATGTTGCACTGGCATTATCATTGAATTGTATATACTACTTAACTTCACTTTTAATTTCCCCTGTGACCCACTGGTTGTTCAGTAGGATGTTATTTAATTTCATGTTTTAATGTATTTTTGTGGTTTTTTTCATTGATTTTCAGTTTCATTGCACAACGATCAGATAGTATGTATGGGATGATTTCAATTTTTCCACATTTACTTAAACATGTTTGTGGGCTAATCTATGGTATATTTTGTAGAATGTCCCATATGTAGCTGAGACAAACGTGTATTCTGTTTTGAGGAGTAGAACACTCTAAACATCTAAGTTCCCCACTACAATTGTGTTAGTACTTACTAGGTTTTTCCTATTTATTAATATTTTTATGGGGCTGGAGGTTTAGCTCAGCGGCATAAGCACCTGCCTTGCAAGCAGGCAGTCGTGAGTTCGATCCCCGGTACCAATAAAAAGGAAAAAGACAATATATATATATATATATATATATATATATATATATATATATATATATATATATATTTTTTTTTTTTTTTTTTTTTATGTAACTTGGCGCACTGGTGTTTGGTGCATATATGTTTACGATTGTTATCTCTTTTTGAAGTTTTCCTTTAAGTACGTGGTGACCTTCTATGTCTCTTTTTATCAGTTTTTGCTTAAAGTTTACATGGTCTGCAAATAAAATAACTACCCCTGATTTTTTTTGGGTTCCTGTGGAATGGAGAATTGTTTTCCATCCTTTGTATTTTAGTTTATGAATTTCTTTTTGAGTTAAATGTGTTTCTTTAATGTAGCAGGTTTGGGGATCCTATTTCTTGATCCATTCTGCCAGTCCTTTTCTCTTGATTTGTGAGTTTAGACCATTTAAGATGAAGGTTTTAACTGATATGTACTGGCTTATCTTTTACATGTCATTTTCCTGTTACTGGTTCTCTGTCTTTCTCCTCTATTTAATTGCCACCTTGCCTGGTGGCTTATTTCTGTTGATGTTCATGTGTTTGCAGTCTTTGATATCTCTTTCTAACATAGCATTCAGAGAATTCTTTAGAGCTGGTTTGGTGGCCACAAATTTCTTCAGTTAATCTTTGTAATGAAAGTATCTTATGTCTTCACTGATTCTGAAAGTTTTGCAGGGTACATCAATGTGGATTGAAGACTGTTTTACATTAGGGCTTGAAGTACCTCATTCCAAGCTCTCCTTGATTTGAGGACTTGTGTTGAGAATGCTGTGATTCTGACAGGGTTTCCTTTATAAGCAATTTACTTCCTTTTAATATTGTGGTCTAGCTGCTTTTAATATTGTGGTCTTGCAATGAATTTCTAGAGTGTTTATTATTATGTGTCTTGGTATAGCTTATTTTGGTAATGGCTATTTGGAGTTCTATATGATTCATTTATTTGCACATCAAATTCTTTATTCAGTTTTAGAAGCTTTTGCCATTATTTCTGGAAAGAGGTTTATTTTTATGTATTTTTCACTGTTTCTGGCTTTCTGACACCAATCAATTTTGTTGTTCTCCTTTACTTCGTCTTGTAGCTGTTGGATTAATTTTTCATGGTCTTTTGCTACTTTTAGGATTTTTTTTCATGGTCACTAGCCACTAGAACTGACATTCTACCCTTGCTTTCATTCAATCTATTGTGAAATCTTTAAATGGAGGTTTCTAATCTCTAGACTTTTGTTTATATCTGTTTCATGGAATCTCTTTCTTTCCTATGTTGGGTTTTCATGTTTTCCATTATTTCCCTGAGCTCTTCTATTTATTTTTTATTTGGCTGTTTTAATGTTGTTCATTTTAATTGTTATTTTTTTGCACCTTAGAAGTTATTTTTCTATAGCCTATTCCATTTGTTTTTTTTTTACTTAGGTTGCTATTATTTCAGAAAGTTTCAGTGGTTGGCTTCTTATTTTTTCTATTTTATTGTGCTCTATGCTTGTCCTGGTGGACTGGGGGTGTGGG